TTGTCTGATCGAAATGATCGATGAAATGGAACGACGACAAAAATCACATGAATTATGCCAATCAAGGTTATATATTAAGAGGTTGTTTGTTTACCTCTTAATAGTTCCATTAAGAGACATCATTTGAATCGTTAAGAGGTAAATCTTGTTTGGGAAAAAAAAGTCTGCCTCTTAATGGTTCTAAAATCATCTGAATGATTTTGTATCATGGGTCTCTCTTAACCATTCAGATCCCTAATTTATTGTAAACAATTATCAAATAATTATATTTCATTTTACATTATATCATCATAGCCTTTTAATCATTCTGACCACTTAATCATTTTGTACTAAACCATTCAGCAACTGCCAAACAACCCATTAAACTTATTGTTAACTCTTATATTCATCTGAGTTCCTTATATATAAAAAGGAAAAACGCACAAAAATAAATAAATAGTGGTATTAATTACTTAAATACTACCCACATATAATTGTAGTTGCCAAATTTTAAATCATGTAGAAGTTTAGTACACAATTTAAGCAATCCAAAGTTTCATTGATTAATTAGCGACGGATTTAAATTTGTAATTCGTTACAAAAGTTAAAATATATTTATTTGTGGTATTAGGAACGGATTTTGGGATCGTTGGTATAATTTCRTTGCTATTGGYAGTGATTTTARKAGCGAGTCMTGTTSCACCYCAAAGAAACTCGAGTATACAAACACTAAGTATATGAGAGGGTTCAAATGAGAAGCCTCACAAATTTTGAAAAGGTGAGAAAAAATCTCAACCATTCGTTAGATGGATTTTTCACAAATTTTGAAAATGGACCCCGTCGTTTAGGGGCTTCGCCCCTTAAAATCAAAATAAACTTAAAAAAGTGTGCATTCCGCACCTTCCTTACTTGTTCGATATTTATCATGATTACATTGATCAACAAATTAATCCCATTACACTTAAATGATATTAGTGATACAAATCACCAACAACTTCGTTCTAATAATTTATTGTAACGCTATTGTATAAGACGTAAGATTGTTGGTCTTAAAACTTAAATGCGTTGTTACGCTAAAAGTTGGTATGTTTTTTTTCCGTGTTTCGCTTAAGGAATCATTTGCTACCGTCGAATATGGAGCGTGTTAGTTTCGATGGCTTTCTAACATTTAAGAGAAAGTAGCCTTGGTTTCCCTTCGTTTGCATTATTGATTTGTATCCCAATTATACAAGTTTTTCAACACTCAATTTGCATACTATTAACATCGTATTCCCTTTTCGGCTTTATTTCCCTTTTAAGTAACAACGATGGCCTTCGGTTTTGCTTGCAGGATCGTTGATGGCATGAAGTTGACACTGGAGTGCTTAGACCACTTTTAGTCTAAAGCAAAGATGTTGACGGTGTGCGAAAGAACGGTACGGAATTGAATGATCTAGAACGAGTTTCGACCGGGTAACGGGCGAGATGAAGTCATGCTTAGAAGGGTTGTACTATTTGAAGTGGGACTTGTAAATCCTTATTCCCAATTGCCTTGAACACATTTTGATTGATGAGTGCATGTACTTATGGCTGTCAACGACCCAGATAGAAGTGCAACGTTTTGACCTTTATAGAGTGTCTTCATCTTGAAAAGAATTGTAAAGTTTGTATTTTTAAAAAAGATTTGGAATCTTTTATCTGTATATTTTTGAGCAAATTGTATAAAAAGATAACGTATTTTAATTTGATTTTTGTTTTGGGTAACGTACTTTCAAAACTTTTATTTTGGTACCTAAGATATAAAGTTTTAAACATTTAAGTACCTGAGTAACCGGTTGAAGCATTAACCGGTTACCATGCTGATGAAACGAGTGATGTGATATCCAATTCAATATTATTTGCTATTCAATCCAATATCATCCCATCATTCGCTACATCAGCATGATAACTGGTTAATGTTTCAAACAGTTGCCCGAGTACTTAAATGTTTAAAATTTTATATCTTAGGTACCAAATCTTATGAAGTCCCATGAAATACCAAATCCTATGGGCTTTCTAAATTCTTCGGTTGTGGGATTTTGTTGGAATCCCGAGATTTTTCAAATCCAAACATTTTCTTTTAAACTTATACAAAGTTAACATTAGGTGAATTGATTTATTACTTAACTAAAAGAACACAATTTGTTTTTTGATTAACCTGGATATCCAACCCGCTATGCGAGCCGACTAATCTCAGGACAACCACCTGCTTTACAGATAGCTTAAAGTTACCGCATTTGAACCTCCGTGGCCACAAAGGGATTTTTATTCCTCCTTCGATTTGAACTTAAGACCTCTTAGTACTTTTAACCTTTGGAGTCAAACTCAAACCAATCAGACACCACCCTTATGGTTTAAAAGAACAAGAAATTGAGATATATTTAACAAAACCATCAACCAATATCAACATTGTAACACAATTGCAACAACTTACGGTAACAAAACAATCAATGTGGGAAAAAACAATTATCTAATAAAGAAGTGGAGGGATTCGTTAAAAATGGATTGGTCCACTAAAAGAAACCAATCACAAGAGAATAAAGAAAGAACGCCTTTTTTCCTAGATTGTATATTTTAAAATTTTAAATTTTTTTTCTAAATTGTAAATGACCAAAATATCCTTATTGATTAAATTTAATTAAAAAAAATTGAATTTTTTTATTGGTTAAAATTGGTTTACATGATTTCTTAGAAATGCAAGGTTTTCATTTGAACGTGGCCATATATATATAATCTTGAAGATTGTAATTGAAGATTATAAGAAGTAAAGGAAAGAATGCATCAAATAATGAGTGAAATAAAAAAATTAATTTACATGAAACAAGTTTCATGAAGGTGAAACTGGTTGATGGCGTAATTGAACAATGAGTGGTGAACTGCTTTCGTGGTGAAACCCGTTTCAGTGATTGTGTAGGTGATCCATTCAATAGATGAAATGAAAAATGAAACGGGTGCATAATGTAGGCAGTTCGTCATGAAATAATTGTAAGATGAAAAATAAATTAGTTTCATTAATAATAATAAATGTTAACGTAAAAATAATAAATTACTTTACAAAAAATA